TTGACGGTGGGAATGGTGTTCTTGGGGTCACAGGCAGCATTCCTCCTCCTCCAAACACGGCGGGTTGAGTTGAGGGCAAAGAGCTCAATTTTGGTCTCATCTGACCACAACACTTTCACCCAGTTCTCCTCTGAATCATTCAGATGTTAATTGGCAAACTTCAGACAGGCCTGTATATGTGCTTTCTTGAGCAGGGGGACCTTGTGGGCGCTGCAGGATTTCAGTCCTTCATGGCGTAGTGTGTTACCAATTGTTTTCTTGGTGACTATGGTCCCAGCTGCCTTGAGATCATTGACAAGGTCCTCCCGTGTAGTTCTGGGCTGATTCCTCACCGTTCTCATGATCATTGCAACTCCACGAGGTAAGATCTTGCATGGAGCCCCAGGCCGAGGGACACTGACAGTTATTTTGTGTTTCTTCCATTCGCGAATAATCGCACCAACTGTTGTCACCTTCTCACCAAGCTGCTTGCCGATGGTCTTGTAGCCCATTCCAGCCTTGTGTAGGTCTACAATCTTGTCCCTGACATCCTTGGAGAGCTCTTTGGTCTTGGCCATGGTGGAGAGTTTGTAATCTGATTGATTGATTGCTACTGTGGACAGGTGTCTTTCATACAGGTAACAAGCTGAGATTAGGAGCACTCCCTTTAAGAGTGTGCTCCTAATCTCAGCTTGTTACCTGTATAAAAGACACCTGGGAGCCAGAAATCTTTCTGATTGAGAGGGGGTCAAATACTTATTTCCCTCATTAAAATGCAAATCAATTTATAACATTTTTGACATGGGTTTTTCTGGATTTTTTTGTTGTTATTCTGTCTCTCACTGTTCAAATAACCCTACCATTAAAATTATAGACTGACCATGTCTTTGTCAGTGGGCAAACGTACAAAATCAGCAGGGGATCAAATACTTTTTTCCCTCACTGTATATCTACTGTCTCTCCGCTACTGTGTCTATGCTCTTCTACCTTATATATATCTACACTCATGTCTATGCAGATATACTGTAGATGTATCTACTCACAGCCACTCTTTTGATGAAGGCAGCGAGGGTTTGGGAGAGTCTGGTTCCTCTGCGTCCGTACACAGAACTGATGTCATCCGGAGCGTACATGTGCTGCAGGACAGATGATTGACAGTAGGGGGCGATAGAGCGACAGAACAGACAGACAACATAACTGTTAAAACGACCTGTTTTTCTCCTCTTCCTAACAACACTGTGTCCATATCACACTGTGTTTCCACATGGCTACACAGGAACTGTCACCATGGGGACTGTGAGTGACCAATCTTTACAGAGTACACTCTATTCCTCCATTCCTGTCCTGACTATTTAAGGGATGACAGAGTGTCTGCCTCTAACAGTCATGTAGTCTGTCAACTGTCTCTGTCTAACCTTAACCCTGGCTCCATTTACTGTGTGTTGTCTGCAGGCTGTCTCTGCCTCTTACAGACTGTTACAGCACTGGACTGGACTCCTAGAGCTGTCAGTCGGTGGAAAACCCTTGCCTCGTCTCCTTGTGTCCTCTCCTTCATCTGGACTGATCTGCCAACTTGGTAGATTGACATCACTACAAGATATCTGCTTTCAGATCAGTAAGGCGTAGGATGAAGGGTGAAGGATGAAGGGTGAAGGATGAAGGATGAAGGGTGAAGAGAAGGCAACCCAAAAATGCGAATGGAACGGAACTAACAGCTGAAAAGCTGCTGGTCTCTGAGCCCATATACCATCCCCTGCTGTTGGGCCCTTGAGCAAGGCACTTAACCCCCCACAATTGATCTCCATCCAGGGGCGCTCTGTGCTGCTGACCCTGTGCCTCTCAACATGTGTGCGTGTGTATATCTAGGGGTGTTGGGAAAGGCACTGTCCAAAACTGTCCATCACACTGTCCTCTGAGGCTGGACACTCTATCACTGGAGGGAAGGAGGAGAGGAGGGAATGGGAAGGAGGAGAGGAGAGGAGGAGGGGAGGAAAGGAGGAGGAGGGGAAGGAGGAGAGGAGGAGGCGGAGGGAGGGTGAGGGGGGAGAGCTGGAAAGGGGCAGGAAGAGAGGGTGGAGAGGAGGAGGAGGAAGGAGACGAGGTGTTGAAGAGGATGAGGAGCGGGGAGAAGAAGGGAGACGAGGACCGGAGGAGACAGGAATGTTTAAAACCTCCCCAGTATGTTCTTAGCTCAGTTTACTCACGTCTGAACTGAGACGGAGAACCAGAGGAGAGGTAGAGAACCAACACAGACAGCCTATGTCAATGTAGATTTATGTACAGTATACTGTAGACCTCACCAAGACAGCTTGTATGAACAGAACAGACAGCAGTATGTCTGTAACACGGTCCTGAGGGACAGATAGAGAGAAAGAATGAAAACATAAAACAGCAAAACCATGAAACTTTATTTATCATACTGTACTTCCTCTTCAGTTTTAGGCTTACCAGAATTCCTTATCACATGGGGCAACTTTATAGCAGGCTCAACTTGCCAGACTGCTCAGTTCACTTGCCCAGGCAATAGGGCAACCCTTACAGTCCCTGCTTCAACTAGGTTCCAGAGTTTTACCTAGTTACAGTGAGGGAAAAAAGTATTTGATCCCCTGCTGATTTTGTACGTTTGCCCACTGACAAAGAAATGGTCAGTCTATAATTTTAATGGTAGGTTTATTTGAACAGTAAGAGACAGAATAACAACAAAGAAATCCAGAAAAACGCATGTCAAAAACGTTATAAATTGATTTTTCATTTAAATGAGGGAAATAAGTATTTGACCCCCTCTCAATCAGAAAGATTTCTGGCTCCCAGGTGTCTTTTATACAGGTAACGAACTGAGATTAGGAGCACACTCTTAAAGGGAGTGCTCCTAATCTCAGTTTGTTAACTGTATAAAAGACACCTGTCCACAGAAGCAATCAATCAACCAGATTCCAAACTCTCCACCATGGCCAAGACCAAAGAGCTCTCCAATGATGTCAGGGACAAGATTGTAGACCTACACAAGGCTGGAATGGGCTGCAAGACCATCGCCAAGCAGCTTGGTGAGAAGGTGACAACAGTTGGTGCGATTCTTTGCAAATGGAAGTCAATCTCCCTCGGCCTGGGGCTCCATGCAAGATCTCACCTCGTGGAGTTGCAATGATCATGAGAACGGTGAGGAATCAGCCCAGAACTACACAGGAGGATCTTGTCAATGATCTCAAGGCAGCTGGGACCATAGTCACCAAGAAAACAATTGGTAACACACTACGCCGTGAAGGACTGAAATCCTGCAGCGCCCGCAGGGTCCCCCTGCTCAAGAAAGCACATATACAGGCCCATCTGAAGTTTGCCAATTAACATCTGAAAGAGTCAGAGGAGAACTGGGTGAAAGTGTTGTGGTCAGATGAGACCAAAATGGAGCTCTTTGGCATCAACTCAACTCGCCGTGTTTGGAGGAGGAGGAATGCTGCCTATGACCCCAAGAACACCATCCCCACCGTCAAACATGGAGGTGGAAACATTATGCTTTGGGGGTGTTTTTCTGCTAAGGGGACAGGACAACTTCACCGCATCAAAGGGACGATGGACGGGGCCATGTACCGTCAAATCTTGGGTGAGAACCTCCTTCCCTCAGCCAGGGCATTGAAAATGGGTCATGGATGGGTATTCCAGCATGACAATGACCCAAAACACACGGCCAAGGCAACAAAGGAGTGGCTCAAGAAGAAGCACATTAAGGTCCTGGAGTGGTCTAGCCAGTCTCCAGACCTTAATCCCATAGAAAATCTGTGGAGGGAGTTGCCAAATGTCAGCCTCGAAACCTTAATGACTTGGATTAGATCTGCAAAGAGGAGTGGAACAAAATCCCTCCTGAGATGTGTGCAAACCTGGTGGCCAACTACAAGAAACGTCTGACCTCTGTGATTGCCAACAAGGGTTTTGCCACCAAGTACTAAGTCATGTTTTGCAGAGGGGTCAAATACTTATTTCCCTCATTAAAATGCAAATCAATTTATAACATTTTTGACATGCGTTTTTCTGGATTTTTTTGTTGTTATTCTGTCTCTCACTGTTCAAATAAACCTACCATTAAAATTATAGACTGATCATGTCTTTGTCAGTGGCCAAACGTACAAAATCAGCAGGGGATCAAATACTTTTTTCCCTCACTGTGCCAGCAGGTGAAAAAAATTGGCCCACCACTCAGGGACCTGTGGTGCCACCTCTGGCATACGTACCAGTTAGTCATTGGACGTATGAATTACGAGTGATAGTGTTATCACTACGTAAACATTTTATGTAGGTGTACCACTCTTGTTTGACGTGTCAAATAGTTTTATTTGACGCTTCAGATAACGAGACGAGTACTGACCCGAACAGAGTTAGACTAGTGAGCAGTGTGTAGCCAGGTGTGGCGTGAGCCATTAAAACAGAACACCCCATGACCACATCAAATTATTAAAACATCACCTGATCGTATAAGATGATAAAACTTGAGTCTAACAGCTGAAGTATTCACCATACAAATCACAGACAGACAGACATACATGCAACTTTATTCTCTCTGGGCTTCTAACCTCACACACTGACTGTCAGTTGAATAGAGAGAGACCCACACATATAAATAAATCATGAATCAGTTAATGCATGGAGTCCATATTGGTCATATTACAGCCCCACACATCACCAACGGTCAACAACATCCTTTCTAGGTCTCTAACCTTACACACTGACAGGGAATGGGATAGAGAGAGACCCATACTATAAATATAAATCATTTCATATAACTCTCATATAGGTTATATGCATGGTGACCATTTTGACTGTTGCTTAGATGTACTTTGGAGAGCATGTCATTCTGTCTGTTGTCACTCTCTCTGTGGTTCAACTCTTCCTTCGTTGTTTGACTATCTGTCCTCTGTTTTGTCCTTTTGGCCTCTTCTCTCTGTTTCTCCTCCTCTCTCTTCTTCTTCTCTCTTCCTCATAGATCTGTTGGTGAGATGGATGGATGGAAGGATGGATAGATGAATGGATGGATGAAGCGTGGATGGAGGAGAGGAGGCAGGTTGTCTCTCAGGTGAGTTCTGTCATTCTTTTATACTCCAGAGGGACAAAGATCCCCGATACCGAACAGAGTGGGGCAGTGAGGGGCAGGGAGGGGGGCAGGGAGGGGGACAGACAGGGGCAGGGAGGGGGACAGAGAGGGGCAGGGAGGGGGACAGAGAGGGGCAGGGAGGGGCAGGGAGGGACAGATAAGGGTGGGAGGGGGATACAGGGGGACAGAGAGGAGCAGGAAATTCCAAAACACTAACCTCTACTCCCATCACACGCTGGGATTTTCCCTCATCATCATCACCATCATCATCAGGAAGAAGGCATTTTCTTCTTAGGTAAGGTGTGATGTTATACTCCAGAGAGACAACGATCCCTGATACAGGACTGTCACGCCCTGGCTCTGGGGACTCTAATATGTTGAGCCAGGGTGTGTATAGTCTATGTGTGTTCTAGGTTTCACTTTCTGGTTTTGTAGATCTATGTTGGCCAGGGTGGCTCCCAATCAGAGACGGCTGTAGCTCGTTGTCTCTGATTGGGAGTCATACTTAGGTAGCCGTTTGGCACTCATTCATTGTGGTTTCTTGTTCGTATTTGGTTTGTGTATGACCATTGACTGTCACGTCATCGTTTTGTTGTTTTGATCGTGTGATCATTGATATAATAAATATGTTCGCTTTCAACGCTGCGCCTTGGTCCTCATCTCTTCCCGACGATCGTGACAGAAGAAACCACCAAGATTTGACCAAGCAGCGTGTCCAGGAGCCATCACCAGGGAGATCCCTAGCAGATCTCCTTTGCCTCCTCGACTGGGTCAAGCCGAGTGAGGAAGAGAAGGGCTTGACATTGTGGCAGAAGGGCGAAAGGCTGGCGAGGGACATGGAGACCTGGTCCACTGGTAGGAGAGACGCCCAGAAATTTTTTAGGGGGGGGGCTAACGCCGTGGACGACGGGCCAGCAGGAGACCGCGGCAGAGCGGCCCAGCGGATTGGCAGAGGAGGCCGCCAGGTTACGGGGGCCACTGGTCGAAGAGGGGGTGGAAGGTGTAGAGGCACGGCGAGAGGTACTGGGGTGTGTTACCAGTCCGGTCCGGCCCATTCCAGATCCCTGCGTAGGACCAGTGGTGTGTGTCCCCAGTACGGTCCGGCCTGTTCCTGCTCCCCGCACCAAGTCAGTGGTGCGCTTCGTCAGCCCGGCTCGGCCTGTTCCTGCTCCCCGCACCAAGTCAGTGGTGCGCTTCGTCAGCCCAGCTCGGCCCGTTCCTGCTCCCCGCACCAAGTCAGGGGTGCGCTTCGTCAGCCCGGCTCGGCTCGTTCCTGCTCTCCGCCCCAAGTCAGTGGTGCGCTTCGTCAGCCCGGCTCGGCCCGTTCCTGCTCCCCGCACCAAGTCAGTGGTGCGCTTCGTCAGCCTGGCTCGGCCCGTTCCTGCTCCCCGCCCCAAGTCAGTGGTGTGCTTCGTCAGCCCGGCTCGGCCCGTTCCTGCTCCCCGCACCAAGTCAGTGGTGCGCTTCGTCAGCCCGGCTCGGCCCGTTCCTGCTCCCCGCACCAAGTCAGTGGTGCGCTTCGACAGCCCGGCTCGGCCCGCTCCTGCTCCCCACACCAAGCCAGTGGTGTGCGTCGTCAGTCCGGCACGGCCCGTGCCTGTTCCACCGGTGGCTGGTCCGGCACCGGTCAGATGCTTCACGCCGGAGCTAGAGCAATCCGCTCCACCAGTGTGCAGTCCAGCTCCGGCCAGCGGGGCCAGACCGGACCAGGGGTACTTTGGGGGGTTGGAGAGGGAGCGGGGATCAGGCCCGGAGCCGGATCCGCCGCCTAAGCGGAGTGCCCACCCGGTCCCTCCCCTGTGGTGTTTGGTGGGCGCGGTCGGAGTCCGCGCCTTTAGGGGGGGGTACTGTCACGCCCTGGCTCTGGGGACTCTAATATGTTGAGCCAGGGTGTGTATAGTCTATGTGTGTTCTAGGTTTCACTTTCTGGTTTTGTAGATCTATGTTGGCCAGGGTGGCTCCCAATCAGAGACGGCTGTAGCTCGTTGTCTCTGATTGGGAGTCATACTTAGGTAGCCGTTTGGCACTCATTCATTGTGGTTTCTTGTTCGTATTTGGTTTGTGTATGACCATTGACTGTCACGTCATCGTTTTGTTGTTTTGATCGTGTGATCATTGATATAATAAATATGTTCGCTTTCAACGCTGCGCCTTGGTCCTCATCTCTCACCGACGATCGTGACAAGGACAGAGAGAGGCAGGAAGTCATTGTCTTAGGTGCGGTCGTGCCTTTTGAGATGTGTAAAAAAAGTTTTCCCATCTGAAGAGGTTAAATATAAAATGTCTATAGTAAGTGCCTATTAAGTGCCAAATAAAGTAACAGGATTGACTGTAACAGTGTTGACGATTTCACCTTAAATCAGCCATAAATCCCCTTGTGACAGGGTGAATGGAAGCTTGTTGTGTGCAACAGGGAGGGGCAATTGAATGCAAGTTTCACAAAAAAAGTCTTTAAATAGTTAAAACATGTATAGCCTGTCTATCTATGGGTAATAGGGTTGTTATGCTCGACACACCCAGTTTCCCACCACAAAATAGCCAAAAACAGTAGAACCAGCCCACCTGCTTTTACACTATGATTTGACTATTAGATGTTCAATGGTTCTTTTGAAAAAAATATTTAAAAGGAATAGTTTCACCATATTAAAACGAGAGTTCAGTTCAGGTAACAGGGTTGATCTTAAAATTAGGGTCAGGTTTATAAAAAATAAAAAAAACTTTATTTCTTCAGAAATTACATTGTCAAAGCGACAAAATAACTAAGGTTTTACAATGATAGTAAAAATTTGGAGAAATGTTGGGGTCAAGTGGGTTAAACTCTTTCTGAAAGTAACAGAGGGCGCATAGAGGGACATGTAAAATTCTGAATTTTGGCACTTTAGTGAGTCTATTCATATACAAAATATCTGATTTATTGAATTTTCCATGTGGTCTATATTAAAGGGCATGTCATTAAATATAAAAGGCTTTTAAAATGCAATATTGGTGCACATTTTCTACTTAAAAGCTCAGTGCAGTCAAAAACGTGATTTTCCTGTGTATCAAGAATGGTCCACCACCCAAAGGACATCCAGCCAACTTGACACAACTGTGGGAAGCATTGGAGTCAACATGGGCCAGCATCCCTGTGGAACGCTTACGACACCTTGTAGAGTCCATGCCCCGGAAAATTGAGGCTGCTCTGAGGGCAAAAGGGGGTGCAACTCAATATTAGGAAGGTGTTCCTAATGTTTTGTACACTCAGTGTATATTTCTGCAATGAGGTTGGAATAATACTGTGAAATTGTGAAAATTATGATAATGCCCTTTTAGTGTAAGAGCTGTTTGAAACCTGTTTTCGTGGAATGGAGTTTTGGGGGGATGGAGTTTTGGCCTGCCTGTTGACATCACAAAGCGGTAAATTAGTTAAAAGACCAATAAGAAAGAGAGTTCCAAACCTCTCTGCCAATAACACATTTTCATTTTCCCCCTCCCCATTCAGTCCTAGCAACATTTCTGCTTCAGAAATTGTTCTTTGCTAAGAAGCAAAAACATATTTTCACTATTTTAATTGAAAACTGTCACAGTAAGGTACGTGATTGTTACCCAGAAATGATTTGATATTCAGATAAAAACAGCTGCATTGGACCTTTAAAATATCAAAGGGAAGCAAAAGGTACTAATTTCATGGAACAACCCAGGTAAGGTATGACGTCACATCTGGAGGGGTGAGGGGGGTGAGGCCGGAACTCCTGGAACTCCTCCCACTCTCAGGATGGGATATTTATGTTGATAAACTTCAACATTCCTCCAGAACATCTGGCAAGCATCGTCATCTCTCTCTCTCCGATCAAACTCTCATCATCTCGCCTTCTCTTTCTTTGTCTGAGCATCATCCTCCTCATCATCAGCTCCAACAAGTAAATACTCTTTCTCTTTTAACTGCATGCTGTATCCATCTCATCTCTGTGTTAATGTTTAACTGCATGCTGTATCCATCTCATCTCTGTGTTAATGTTTAACTGCATGCTGTATCCATCTCATCTCTGTGTTAATGCACTGTGTAGGCTAGTTTCTGGATAGCATAATATTATATTCAAACATTCATGGCATGATTAGAAATAATAAATATTTACCATGTCATGAAACATTGAGAAAGTAAAGAACAGCTTATAATACCGTGGAGAAGTTGTCTGAACAGTTAGGGGAGGCTAGTAGTTTAGTGATGGTAAGATAGTGATGGAGAGAGAGACACACACACAGAGAGAGAGAGAGAGAGAGAGAGAGAGAGAGAGAGAGAGAGAGAGAGAGAGAGAGAGAGAGAGAGAGAGGTCTGATATTACTTACTAGAATCAGTCTACTCTACTACTTACTGTACTAAAACCAGTCTTGCAGCTGCTTGATAATAGACTTGTAGACACATATATATATGATGTTTGTGATAGACTGTACATGATGATAGACAGGCTGAGGACAGTGTAACTAAGTGTGCTCTGCTCTTTCTCCTGTCACTGTCTCAGTGAAAGAGGGAGAGAGAGAAGAAGCAGAGGGAGAGGAAGAAAATAAGGTTGTCTAGGCAGCAGCCTCCTATCTATCTAGGCACAGGCACCTGCCGTACACTGACTCCCTCCAGTCACACTGTACTGTGGCTCCTTTCTTTGTCACTGGGAGTGGGTGGATATGATAATCAGCACCTAGCTGGCACTAAGCAGCACAGGGAGTACAGAGGCACTGCTGGGCTCTTTGAGAGGGGTTACTGTGTTGAATACGGGAGGGGAGGAGGGGGAGAGAGGGAGGGGAAGAGTGAGTGAGAGAGAGAAAGGCAGGGAGAGGTGGTAATTCACAAATGTGTTCTGAAAAAAAAAAGTGTAGGTTACTGTTTTACATATAGAGGGCGATGTGATCTTTATGTTCAGTGATAAATAACATGAAGTATTGAGGTGAATCTTAACCAGAGCCCTTTCTAGACAGTAAGCTCCAATGCTGCCTGTTTTTCTCTGTCTGGGGAGGACCTGTGTCAACACATCTGCCCCAGTCAACATAACATTTATCCTCCATGACTGGGCCAGTGACATCATCAACTCTGCAAATATATCCTTTGGTTGTTAATTGTCCAAAACACATTTATACTGGAAACACATTCATACTTTATTTCCATTCTACAGGATAAAGAAACAGGCAGGACAGGAATAAGCCAATATTGGGTTTAAATTTAGAGCAAGAGGAAGTCTTAGCCCTAGGTTGGAGGAGAGTGTTGACAGACAGACCAGCCAACCACACCAGTCTAGGGTTGCGTCCCAAATGGCACCCTATTCCCTATATAGTGCACTACTTTTGACCGGGGCCCATAGGGAATAGGGTGCTATTTGGGACCCCAGCCTAGAGCCTTATAGTTAAACACTTCACCCCAGACTGATGCTGAAATAATATGCTACTGAATAGCTTGTATTTTCATCATTCATCCATTTTAATGTTTTTATTCGCTGTCCTCTCTCTCATGTTCATATAATATTATTACTGTCCCTGTTGTTTTACAGCTGTAGCTAAAACGACAGACGCCATGGCAAGCTCGGATGGTTTTCCCGCCAGTTTCTATGGTGAGCCGGGGGTGTTGGGCATGTTATCCAATGGGATCAGTGCGTTCCTGGTTCTACTGCAGAACTTCAACACCGCTAGAACCGGAGTACCGGCACAGGGGGTGGAAAACATTCTGGCAGGTATGCTAATCAATCAATCCATCATGATCACTATCACAATGTGTCACGACTTCCTCCGAAGCTGCCTCCTCTCCTTGTTCGGGCAGGCTTCGGCGATTGTCGTCACCGGCCTTCTAGCCACTGCCGCTCCTCATCTCATCATTCCATTTGTTTTGTCTTGTTTTTACACACACCTGATTCATAGCCCCTCATCAGTACCTGTATAAGTATTCCCCCTGCCCCCCATGTCTTTGTGGGTGATTGTTTTCATGTAGAGGTGACGATAGCTTGTGGAAAATTATTATTAGTGTTTTACGCATTGCTGCGTACCGCTGTATCTGCCAAATAAACCATTGATTCTGTGATTTACCCTCCTGCGCCTGACTCCTTCCAAATCACCCGCTACACAATGACTAACTCTACTCTCTGTTCTTGCTGTTGTGTTTCAGTTGGTTGTTCAAAATCACTAACAGTGTTGTGTGTTTTAGGTGGTTGTTCAACATCACTAACAGTGTTTTGTGTTTTAGGTGGTTGTTCAACATCACTAACAGTGTTGGGTGTTTTAGGTGGTTGTTCAACATCAATAACAGTGTTGTGTGTTTTAGGTGGTTGTTCAACATCAATAACAGTGTTGTGTTTTAGGTGGTTGTTCAACATCACTAACAGTGTTGTGTGTTTTAGGTGGTTGTTCAACATCCCTAATAGTGTTGGGTGTTTTAGGTGGTTGTTCAACTGTTGTGGAAATTCTTACACAGGGACACTCAAAGTCAATCTTAAAAGAATCATTGTTTATTATCAGCATGCTGGAGAGGTTCCCACCAACTCAATGCACCATATGTATACATGTCGATCAGGATCTCTCCCGGGGCAGTCCCGTTAGATCTCTTATATACAGTTATATTTGCATGATTTAGCTTATTCATTCATAATTAATTCATCATTGACGTTTGCTTCATTCATGTGACTGACCAATACTGGGTCATGCATGTGACAGACCAATACCTCGTTCTCAAAACAAGGGTCTGGGCGTACTGCCAAATTGCAGATACTGATAGTGAGGGTTCGTTCAATCAGTCATTTGCATGAACACAGAAAACGGTAATTAGAAAAGCATGAACATAGAACACAGAAATGTATAAATAGAAAAGCACCAACATAACATTTTCCATCAAACAACATCACTAACTGTGTTATGTGTTTGCAGGTGTTCACCTGATCCTGATAGGTGGTGTGTGTCAGCTGATCGCCGGCCTCCTGTCGTTCCGCAAATACGACCACCTAAGCAGCACTGCCTTCATCGGCTACGCAGCGCTCTGGGGGAGCTATGGCGCCACACGCATCTTCCAGGGTGCCTCCCAACCAATCACAACCAACATGACCCTGTCACATGACCTGATGAGCAACATGACAATGCCCACTTCCCTCATAACCAACCTATCCCTATCAGCGGAACTCATCAATGGCACCTCGCAGAGCCCTGATTGGCTGTTTTCCCTGCCCATTCCCCAGTCTGCCATCGGGGGATTGGTCCCCTACATCCTCCTCTCCCTCCTATTGGCCTTCTGCTCAGCCACGGTTAACGTCATCATGCCCTTCGTGTTCGGCGCCATCACGCTGACGCTGCTGTTCGAGGCCGTGATATTGGGAGTGTCCTCCGCCTGGCCGCTGATCGTCTCCGGTATTCTAGAACTCCTCATCCTCCTTTTCGCTGTGTATGGTAGCGCAGCCCTGCTGGTGAAAGGCCTGGCACAGCGCTACGTCCTGAAGGGGTTCGGCAACCCACTGTTTAACGTGCTCCTATTGGGGACCAATCAAATCCCCACGGCCAGCGCTCAGAGCCTGGGACAGGAGAAGAAGAAGAACACGAAGTACGCTGAACCCCAGGCGCTCTGCTTTTTTTGCGACACCGTGTCTCCGTTCATCCTGTTGTTCTACAGCTTCGGCTACATCACGTCCTTCTCCCTGGGGGCTGTGTGGGTGTCCATTATCTCTGCTGCTCAGCTCCTCTCCAGCTACTACGCTCACCTGCGCCAGGATGGCTACCTGGCCACCAAGGCTGGGCTGCACGCCACCTACTGGCTGACCAAGGCGTGGGAGGAGTTTGTGTTGTCGCCCCTGATTGTGTCGGAGCCGATGGGAGAGGTGGCTGCTGGGAGACAGGCGATGGTTGGTGATTGGTTCTTTGTGACGGCGGCGCTGCTCCTCCTAGTAGTGAGTCTCAGTAATGACGCCCTGGAGGTTGCCCACAATGCATTGTTCCTGCTTCTGTCCGTGTCCACGATCCACCAGATCCCCCTCCAGGGGTACTACATGTTCTTCGGGGTGTCCTGCTCCCTGTTTGCCGCTGCCTCGCTTTACGGGACGTTCTGCCGCCTCATCAACTCCATTGCTGAGAAGATTCTGATCCCTGTGGGCCCTCAGCTCGTCTCCTCTATCCGCCTCCGCTCCGTCCTGTGCTGCTGCTGTTCCCCGGGGAAACTCCAGGGGGCGCTGTCATTATCACCACCGACCATTCAGATCACTGACACCCTATTCTACCTGACCAATGGGGTGGCAGCTCTCTCGGCCCTCCACTCAGCCTCGTCCAGTCAGAGCGGGGTGTTCCTGCGGCTGAGCGTTCCGTGGGTTCTGGTGTCGGGAGCAGTGGTACAGGGGTTGGTCAGCAGACTGCAGGTCAGGGGAGGACAGAGATTTGGGTCGGTCATCCCATCCTTCTACATGGTTGTCTGGGCTACATGGACATGGTACCGCTTCGCAGGTACATGGGTGACTTGTGCTGCCTCCTATTTGACACCCCATTCCTTATATAGAGCTCTGGTCAAAAGCAGTGCACTATATAGGGAATAGGGTACCATTTGGGACGTACCCTGAAGGATTAAATTAGAATACTTTATTATCCATTAACAAAACAAAATGTTATTTTGCGCTGACATACATATAGCATTTTACACATTTCACACATTGACAGATCCTAACATGAAGAATGTGCCTTTAATTTTAGCCTAAATCATACAATAATGTCAAGAGGAGATTTGCAGGACAGTTAGTCAGTGTTGCTGTTGTTGTTGCTGTTGTTGTTGTCTCCATGCTCTGTGACCTGTTTAGTAACCAGTACTCTCTGTTCTATTCTCAGGCCTCATGCTACAGATCTCTCCAGCAGGGTCTTTAGGGTTCACAGCTGGAGCCATCGCTTTCCTGGTCATCAACGCTTTCCTCATGCTCATCGGTCAGTCTCTACGTGAAATTACCAAAATCTACCTCTTCACCTGCTTCAACAGATAAAGAGAGTGAAAAACTGAGGTTGTGTTTGGCACCCTATTCCTTATATAGACCTATGGGCCCTGGTCAAAAGTAGTGCTTCACTATATAGTGCAGGGATCATCAACTATATTCAGCCGAGAGCCGATTACAAATAATTTGCAGACTGCAAATTGACCGCAAGAATCCCAAACAGATATAACATTTGACTAAAACATAGTAATTTCAAACATTGCTTACATTTCTATACAAATAAAATAAAATTGTATTTGTCACATACAGTGAGGGAAAAAAGTATTTGATCCCCTGCTGATTTTGTACGTTTGCCCACTGACAACGAAATGATCAGTCTATAATTTTAATGGTAGGTTTATTTGAACAGTGAGAGACAGAATAACAACAAAATCCAGAAAAACGCATGTCAAAAATTTTATAAATTGATTTGCATTTTAATGAGGGAAATTAGTATTTGAACCCTCTGCAAATCATGACTTAGTACTTGGTGGCAAAACCCTTGTTGGCAATCACAGAGGTCAGACATTTCTTGTAGTTGGCCACCAGGATTGCATACATCTCAGGAGGGATTTTGTCCCACTCCTCTTTGCAGATCTTCTCCAAGTCATTAAGGTTTCGAGGCTGACGTTTGGCAACTCGAACCTTCAGCACCCTCCACAGATTTTCTATGGGATTAAGGTCTGGAGACTGGCTAGGCCACTCCAGGACCTTAATGTTCTTCTTCTTGAGCCACTCCTTTGTTGCCTTGGCCGTGTGTTTTGGGTCATTGTCATGCTGGAATACCCATCCACGACCCATTTTCAATCACCTATGATTTGACGGTACATGGCCCCGTCCATCGTCCCTTTGATGCGGTGAAGTTGTCCTGTCCCCTTAGCAGAAAAACTGCCCCAAAGCATAATGTTTCCACCTCCATGTTTGACGGTGGGGATGGTGTTCTTGGGGTCATAGGCAGCATTCCTCCTCCTCCAAACACGGCGAGTTGAGTTGATGCCAAAGAGCTCAATTTTGGTCTCATCTGACCACAACACTTTCACCCAGTTCTCCTCTGAATCATTCAGATGTTCATTGGCAAACTTCAGATGGGCATGTATATGTGCTTTCTTGAGCAGGGGGACCTTGCGGGCGCTGCAGAATTTCAGTCCTTCACGGAATCTGATTGATTGATTGCTTCTGTGGACAGGTGTCTTTTATACAGGTAACAAACTGAGATTAGGAGCACTCCCTTTAAGAGTGTGCTCCTAATCTCAGCTCGTTACCTGAATAAAAGACACCTGGGAGCCAGAAATCTTTCTGATTGAGAAGGGGTCAAATACTTATTTCCCTCATTAAAATGCAAATCAATTTATAACATTTTTGACATGCGTTTTTCTGGATTTTTTTTGTTGTTATTCTGTCTCTCACTGTTCAAATTAACCTACCATTAAAATTATAGACTGATCATTTCTTTGTCAGTGGGCAAACTTACAAAATCAGCAGGGGATCAAATACTTTTTTCCCTCACTGTACACGTGTTTAGCAGATGTTTATGCGGGTGTAGCGAAATGCTTGTGCTTCTAGCTCCGACAGTGCAGTAATATCTAACAAGTAATATCTAACAATTTCACAACATATACCCAATACACACAAATCTAGTAAGGAATGGAATTTAAGAATATATACATATATGGACAAGCAATGACAGAGCGGCATGGACTAAGATACAGTAAAATATTATATAATAGAATACAGTATATACACATGAGATGAGTAGTGCAAGATATGTAAACATGATTAAAGTGACTAGTTGTCAATTTCTTAAAGTGGCCAGTTATTTCAATAGGCAGCAGCAGCAATCACATATATCTCTCTATTATGCATGGGAACACTTTGGAACAGATTTCCAAAATTAAAATCACTTGGAGCTGATTTGCTAGTGTTTTTACAGTCTTTCATGTCCAACAATTGTTTTTGCTGAGAAAAATGTAGGGGCCAAATAAAATCAGCCGCAGTCCGCCATTGGGGAACCCTGATATAGGGCATAGGGTGCCATTTGGGACACATGCAGTGTATTCATCCTGTATTCCTAACTTTCTCCATGTCTTCTCCCCTCCACCTCTCCATTTCTACATCTTTCCATATTTCCATATTTCCATGTCTCCACCCCCCCCCCCCAGCTGCGTATGGGAACCTGGTCCTCTTGTCTCTGACCACGGTCATGGAGGTGGTCCTGGTCTGTTTCCTCCTGTCCACCCTCCAACAGCTCCCCTACCAGTTGGAGAGTAAGGAACCTGCTTCTCACCTAACTACACTTACAGGGCTCTTACAGCACTTGTCTCAGACCTACTGCACAGTATCTCTAACATAGTGAATGTTAGTGTTCTAACATTGCTCTGCCGTTCTTCCTACAGTTGCAATGCTAGCTGTGTTCTCTATCATCTGTGTGTATGGAGCCCTGGCATCGCTGGTCAACTGTACCTTCTCTCAGAGACTGCTGCCCCTCGGCCCGCCACTGTTCAAGGTGAGAACAATACACTCCATTTCTATTCCATTCCATTCTATTCCGTTCCATTCTATACCATTCGGTTCTGTTCCATTCGTTTCTGTTCTGTTCCATTCCATACCATTCCGTCCTACTCCATTCTGTTCCGCTCCATATCTTCTCTCTCTGTGTTGTGTCTTAGGATGTGAAGCAGCAGAAGGCGTCGTCCCCTGCCTCGCCCTGTCCCGTAGCAGACTCCAAGCTGACTAGTGGACTCCTGAAGATTACCAGACTGCTAGACGAAGGGGGGGTCTGTGGAATCCCCACCGACACTGTCTACGCCCTGGCTGCTTCCTGCAAGAACCCTCAGGCCATCGAGAGCATCTACAACATCAAGGTAACACTCACATTATCAGTGACATACTGTGCTCATACTCTTAATCAAGTCAATGTTACTCCAGCAAGTAGGCTACTGGTCCTTCGAGCTGGATAGGAACACTTGTCCTGGAACAATCCCAATGTTATACTGTGGATTGTGATGCACTGGCTTACAAAATGTTGTTTTTGGATGAAACTTTGGATGAAACTGGTTCACCCCTGTCGTTTGACCTCTAACCTCTCTTTGACCCCTGTTAGGACTGCCCAGCAGAGAAGCCAATCTGTATCTCTAGTGTAGAGCAGCTGGTGGCAGCCAAGCCCCTTGACCCTTGACCTCTAACCCATGACCTGTCTCTCTGACCCCTAACCAGGACCGCCCAGCAGAGAAGCCGATCTGTATCTGTATTTCCAGTGTGGAGCAGCTGGTGGCAGCCAAGCCCCCCTTCAGTCCTCTACTCTGGGAGTTCATGAGGAACGTCTACCCTGGAGGTATCAGCTGCATCGTCTGCAAGGGAGATTGGCTACTCAGACTGGGTCAGTACCATGGTGGCAAATTACCAGTGGAGGCTGCTGAGGGGAAGACGGCTCATAATAATGTCTGGAATGGAGTGTAATGGATGGAATGGAGTGAATGGAATGGTATCAAGCAGTGGTTGATACCATTCCATTGACTCCATTCCAGCAATTATTATGAGCCGTTCTCCCCTCAGCAGCCTCCACTGCAAATTACAGATTTGGGGGTATTTAGATGACATATTTTTTTATTTCTGCTGCACTGGGCTAGGTTAACAGAAATGATTTGAATCACATGTTGACTCTTGGAGGTTCACCTAAACTAAAATAGTGTTTTTAATCATTGTGTTCGCACCTGTGTTGGTCAAGTCTGGGTTGTGTTGATGGTTTACCTGTGTTGTCCAGGTGTGGGTCCGGCCTACGACCGCGTGGGGACCAAGGACAGCATTATGATCCGAGTCCCTGACCACACAGTCACCGGACACCTGTGTGACATCACCGGCCCGCTCGCCATCACCTCAGCCAATCCCAGTGGAGAACCCGACAGCACGCACCACGACATGGTCATCAGGTAACAGTCTATCAGAATACTCACCTGTACTCAAGCCTGTTAGTGCTTATTCATAAAATGTTATAGTGGTAAATGATCACCATTTATAAAATGTAATAAATGGTGCACACTGCAGCTCCAATGTAATAATTAGATTCCAACGTTTTGACAGCTATGCTGCTTTCATCAGGGTTTCATGAAATTATGACTATTTAACCTGGAGAGCACTATTTGATGTGATGCTGAGAGTGATGTCAGTTTTGAAGTATTTCTGCATACAGGAGGCTGGTTATAGCCCGGTTTGATCTTTCCTGTCAGACTGGTTTCATGTCAGTCAGCCTGCTGTGTGAACATACAGTTATACTAATGTATCTGTGTTAGTCCTCTACTAGTTATTGGGTCATAATCCAGATGATGTTCTTTACTCTTTATGCTGTTCTGAACCTGTACCTGAACTTACTCTGATACTGTCTTCCTAATACTGATAGTGACACTGTCTCCTCTATCTGTGTGTGTTTCAGTCGTCTGGGCCATAAGATCCAGGGTGTTTTGTGTGACGGGGATTCCAACGAGGTCGTAGCCTCCACAGTGGTCAACTGCCTCAAGATAGATGAAGGTATGATGTCACAGGACAGTACAGAAGCCCACTATAATAAGTCATAACTAACCTCTTAGGCTGTGGGTTGTCCCACCTAGGGTTGCAACATTCCAATAACTTTCCCCAAATTCCCAGGTTTTCCAGAAATCCCGGTTGGAAGATTCCTGGATTTCAGAAGGGTTTAAGTAGGAATTTCCAGAATCCTCCAATCAGGAATTTTGTTAAAGTTACCGGGACTTTGCAACCCTAGTCCCACCCAATGGTTCCTTGTGTGTCAATGATCACTTAGTCAGAATTGTTTCCTTCTCCCCCAGGTACGATTAGCATCGTGAGGGAGGGCTGTGTCCCGGCTATCAAGGTTCGACAGATCTTTGAGCGGGTGAAGAGCAGTATGCTATGAGGAGGACCTTTCCCCTCCATCCTCTCCTGCATTCTCGCTTCCATCCACCTCTCCTTCCCCCATTCCCTCCCTCCATCCTCTGTTGACCAATGATGACGCTCAGATCAGATACCTTGACCCACACATCTCAGGCCACCAGCCAATGAAGAGTGTTCTCTTGAAGATAACAGTAGATTAAATGTGAAGAGGGTAAAAATGTGGTGTAATGTTGGGCTAACTGAATGCTAATCAATTCATTGTGATGAGAGGACTGTAGTGAAAGCCAAATGCAATCTTTGCTGACCTTTATTGTTATAACAAATGTTTAAGAAGGGAACTGGTAAATTTGTTGTAGATTTAGGGGTACGATACAGATGTTTTGAATTCTAGATTGATGTTAGGTTTTTGTTCTGTAATAAAGTGCGACCAGAAAACTCTAAGTTAGAAGCACCGTGATACCTTGATGTTGAATTAAGTCTAAATTAAGTATTTATGAAGGACTATGTACTGTGGATGAATGTCTGATGCTTCTGGGGAGAAATTAAGGATTATTTATTGCTATGGTGGGGTAAAATGTACGTGTGATTTAATGTATTGTTCAATATGGGAGATTTACACAGACCAAACGGCATACATGCAACATTAAAATGACCTGATTTGTATTATTTGTTCTGACAATGTGTTGCAATGGTTATATGTATATATTTATGTCATTGTTTAAATCTATTTCCTATTAAAACTCAACTACACTTACATCTCCAGTTTTGTTCTGTTTTCAATACCGTAACCAATATTTATCATGCCTTAATAATGAATAAACAAGTCTCAATAATCAGCCTAAAATAAGTTGTGTCCATCATAAGACACAGCATCTGAACAGATAAAAAAACCACATTAACAAATAGAACATTATTAAAGGATCTCTGTGTATAGTCTGTAGAACTATGGAGTAGGGCTCTTTAGGGTCTAGTTTTAGAGGATGCTGTACATCCTGCTTTTAACATCACAGCAGACACTGGGGAATCTATTTCCTGCCTAGTTGGTCAACTGGAAACCAATTATCATTTGCAATGACTACTGGGCAAGAGGAAGCACAGCTAAGATAATAGAAACCTTTTCATTCAAAATGGTATCCAATAGAAATGGGTCATTCCAGTAGAGATCTGATGTGCATGCGTTCATTTCGAGGTACATGTAGGCTATAGAACGTCACGATAATTGTACTCCATAGTCATCATCAATAAAGAATCATTAATTTACATCAATCACCACTCAGAATGGCCTCCAAAAGAGCTGGGACATTCCAGTGGATCTCTGAGGTGGGGTTCTAGTAGCCTCTACCCAGGAGCTCTGCTTCACAAACACACGTAACCACCCTCCTAAAGCTTCTTACCCAGTCGTGCCACTAAAGCTAGCTATTCAGCAACACAAGTAGGGACACTTCAGGCTGAGGAGTGAGTTTCACACATGCCCGTCTGCTACAGAAGGATGTTATCCAAAATGCAATGTAGTTTCCCTGATACAGATGGATCTGTCCGTGACTCAGCCCCTGAGTACTACTATCAATAAATACAACAGCCCAAGGACTGACATTAAGGGTTGCCCTAATGCCTGGGGCACGTGAACTGAGCAGTCGCGCAAGTTGAACCTGCTCGGAGGTTGGCCCATTGGGCAGGTGATTTTTTGCAAAGAATTCCAGTAGCCTAAAACGGATATATCCGGCATGGAAGAGCACTACTAAGCCAGTGACTCAGCCCCCGTAATAGGGTCAGAGGCAGAGAATCCCAGTAGAGAGTCCCCTGTAGCTCAGTTGGTAGAGCATGGCGCTTGCAACGCCAGGTATGTGGGTTCGTTTCCCACAGGGGGCCAGTATGAAAAATGTATGCACTCACTAACTGTAAGTCGCTCTGGATAAGAGTGTCTGCTAAATGACGTAAATGTAAATGAGAGAGGGGAGCCAGCCAGGCAGAGACAGCAAGGGCGGTTCGTCACTCCAGTGCCTTGCTGTTCACCTTCGTACCCCTGGGCCAGACTACACTCAATCATAGGACCTACTGAAGAGATGAGTCTTCAGTAAAGACTTAAAGGTCAAGACTGAGTCTGCGTCTCTCACATGGATAGGCAGACCATTCCATAAAAATTTAGCTATATTGGAGAAAGCCCTGCCTCCAGCTGTTTCCTTAGAAATTCTAGGAACAGTAAGGAGGACTGCGTCTTGTGACCATAGCATACGTGTAGGTTTGTACGGCAGGAGCAAGTCCATGTAATGCTTTGTAGGTTAGCAGTAAACCCTTGAAATCAGCCCTAGCCTTAACAGGAAGCCAGTGTACACAGGCTAGCACTGGAGTAATATGATCAATGATTTTGGTTCTAGTCAAGATTCTAGCAGCCGTGTTTAGCACTAACTGAAGTTTATTTAGTGCTTTATCCGGGTAGCCGGAGGGTAGAGCATTGTAGTAGTCTAATCTTGTCATGCCCTGACATAGAGTTGGCTAGTTGGTGAGTCAGGGTGTGAATATTATGTGTGGGAATTTCTATGTGGACTTTTTAGTACTTGTACTTCTATGTTTGGCTGGGTGTGATTCCCAATCAGAGGCAGCTGTCGCTCGTTGTCTCTGATTGGGGATCATACTTAAGTAGCCTGGTTGCCTGCCTTAGTTGTGGGATCTTGTTCATACTCTTGTTTGGCTTGTATGTGTTTTAGCCATAGTAAGTGTCACGTTATGTTGCCTTTTGTTGTTTTTGTCGAGTGTTTATCAGTTCAAATAAACATGTACGCATATCACGCTGCACCTTGGTCTGACCCGTTCCTCAACGATCGTGACAGAAGATCCCACCAAACACGGACCAAGCAGCGTGCCCAGGAGCAGCAGACACCCTGGACACAGGTAGTGGAGCAGAGATCATGGACTTGGGGGAGATAAGAGAGGATCTGGCCAAGCATATGGAGGCCCTGAAAGGGATGAGAGTAGCCGATAGAGGACCCTGGGCGAAGGAGGAAGCCCAGGCAGGAGAGGAGAAACGGCGACCCAAGAGGACGCGGTCACGAAGAAAGCCCGAGAAGCAGCCCCAAGAAAATGTTTTTTTGGCGGGGGGGCACACGGGGTGGTTGGCGGAGCCATGGTTCAGAGCAGAGCCAATTCCCCGTACTCACGCTAGGAAGCGTGTGACCGTGCAGGCTCCGTGTTATGCGGAGCTACGCACTGTGTCGCCAGTGCGCCAGCACAGTCCGGTGCGTCCTGTGCTAGCGCCACGCACGTGCCGTGCGAAAATGGGCATCCAGCCAGGACGGGTTGTGCCGGCTCAACGCTCCTGGTCTCCATTACGCCTCCTCGGTCCAGCATATCCTCCGCTGGTTCTACATACTGTGTCGCCAGTGCACGTGCACAGCCCAGTGCGTCCTGTGCTAACGCCACACACGTACTGTGCAGAAGTGGGCATCCAGCCAGGACGGGTTATGCCATCTCTATGCTCCAGACCTCCATTGCGCCTCCACAGTCCGGTACGCCCCGTATCTGCTCCCCGCACCAAACCAGTGGTGCGCATATCCAGTCCGGTACGGCCCGTGCCAGCTCCCCGCACCAAACCAGTGGTGCGCGTATCCAGTCCGGTATGGCCCGTGCCAGCTCCTCGCACCAAACCAGTGGTGTGTGTATCCAGTCCGGCACGGCCCGTGCCTGCACCTCGCACCAAACCAGTGGTGCATGTCTCCAGTCCGGCACGACCCGTGCCTGCTCCTCGCACCAGACCAGTGGTGCGTGTTCCCGGTCCAGCTCCGGTCAGCGGAACCACTCCGGAGCCAGAGCAGTCCGCTCCACCGGTGCCCAGTCCAGCTCCGGTCAGCGGTTCCACTCTGGAGCCCAGTCCAGCTCCGGTCAGTGGCTCCACTCCGGAGTGGTGCGTGTATCCAGTGGTGCGCATCTCCAGTCCACTATTATTCTACAATGTTAAAAATAGTAAAAAATTAAGAAAAACCCTTGAATGAGTAGGTGTGTCCAAACTTTTGACTGGTACTGTAGTCAAACAGGATGTAACGGGAGTTGTCCAATAACTTTCTGTGGGAGGCTAAAGTGTGCAACATGACCACAATGCAGTAGAGGATGATGATTTGTTTAGGTTTTACTTGACGATACCATCCCATGAGCATCTCTCACTCCTCAGAGCCTCTCGCACCCCTCTCTCACCTCTCAGATGGAGATTCCTTAGCGGAGGCTGTGAAGGAATCCTCGGAGGTAGCCCCATTGGGCAGGTGACTCTTTGCAAAGCATTCCAGTAGCCTAAAACTGATATATCTGGTTATTCCCCAATTGTTTAAGTGAAAGACAATTGATGGCATTTATTGCAGTCGGACAAGTTGAGCCTGCTACATGTGTGTGCTTTGTACAGTGCCTAGTGAAATTCTACACACCTATTGCACAGGTTATACATGACTATACCATTGCCAAGAGCCTCTTTCACCCCTCAGAACCTCTCTCACCCCTTTCTCACCCCTCAGAACCTCTCTCACCCCTCTCTCACCACCAGAAGAGGCTGGTGGGAGGAGCTATAGGAGGATGTGCTCATGTTTGACTCCATTCTATTTATTGCATTCCAGCCATTACAATGTGCCCGCCCTTCTATAGCTCCTCCCACCAGCCTCCTCTGCTCACCCCTCAGATGGAGACATATTCCACTTAAACAGAGGCAGTGAGAATGAAAAGTTGATTGGGGGGAAGTGCCCATGGCCAGGGCTAACAAAGAACTCCTGTCTGACCAGACTTTAAACAGGTATAAGGTGATAAAGTGGTACACAGTTTCTGGAATTAGGTGATGAGGTGTTAACACAGTTTCATGATGTACGTGATGGCATTCCTCTTCACAGATACCACTCTTCACATCAAGATTAGCCTACTTATCAACATGTTTTAGGTAAGTGAGAAACACATCAGCTTTAATATTGCAGATAGATTATAGCTTCCATCAATTGTCTGCATCACTTCCAATCCCCCATATATTTTTTGGCAAATATATACATATACATA